GAAAGACTGGTTGAGAGATCGTTTGAGTGATTAAATTGTTGATAAATCGATTAATTTATTGAGTGATCAAATGTGATTCGGGTAATTAAAAATTTTCGCGGTTTCACAAAATAAACAACGAAGTAGAATTCAATTACAAGATTGATTACTTGATCAGCTGGTTTATTGGTTGTTGAGGTGATCGAATGATTAACTGATTGATTCGTCAATCGATTGATCGACCGACTGAGATTTAAGTAAACAAAAGTTTCTAGATTTCAACGAGAACCAAACAACTAACATGAGACAATAGTCAACAATTTGGTGGTAATACCAATAAAAAAAAATTGTAAAATAATAAACTTATTGTACACACGAATATTGTTCACTGTATCCTAGAAATCTTTTATTGATTTAATAAACTCACCGAAATTGCTCAATGATGACAACTGAATAGTAGTATTGTATGACATTTACTTATGTTCCTAATTAAATGATGAACAAATCAAATCTCTACTAAAAGTGATTGTCAATTCAATTTATGGATAAGTTGACTATCGAACAATAAACCATCTGCTGACCTGAAATATACCCGTATTCCGAAACCTCAGGTATCTGCTTACTTCTAATCATATGCCAGTTTGTAAGAAAGTAACACCCGATACCATGAAGTAATTTGAAATTGAGCGCTACAGAGTAACGCGTAAGGGAGTGATCACATCGCGCAGTTATACGGAAAACAAACACGTGACTCGTGGATGATTACTACGATAATATTCAAAGGCAGAAAATATAGCGATCAAGCTTGTTTTCGTATATTTTTGTATGTTACCACAGCCTTGTCTGCGACGTTCTCGAGAAGCACATGCAGGGGAAAGACAGATCAATGCGACTTTTGTTACATTCGAATGACCTTCATTCACGCGTAACGTTTCAGACCACGTGAGAATGGGCGAGGCCAAGGCTACTGGGTGGCGGAAACCATGTTCTTCTGTCTGCTGGTGTTGAGATCAGTATTTTGATTGCGACTGCCCCTGCCGTTACCGGACAATGTAAGACTTGTTAGGGGCATTTTCTAGGCGACTATAAACACATCGTGGTCTATCTGGTACCCTGTGCTTAGCCAGGCAGGCCTAGGTTCTCTGATCAATTGTTAAAATTGTTTCATTTTTTGTCCCGCAAAACTTACCGAACATGTTTAAATGAAGAGATCCTAAATCACGGATGACCAGAGGATAGACATTATTCTTAAGCACAGCTGTAGCCGGCTTGTGAACAAAGAGCGTGGATTGGGGACTAGATACGTTCCTCTAATCGCAGCAAAACAATAACCAGCGAGAGTGTGGCCCATCTCGCTGTGATAGACCAAAGATAAAGGTTGCATTCCAGCTACCATGGCCCCACCCGTCGTACGGGACAAAACGAGCCATGACCTTAATCACGCGATGATTACGCATCATGGTGTCACGCGTGTATGAAGGTCATTCGAGATTTACATAAGTGATCTTGATCTGTCTTCCATTTCCATATGCTCCCTTGGAACAGAGAAATTTCTCTTTGCGTTCACTCATTATCACCAATTGGATTGGTTTCGGCTAAAATCCGGAACACCAAAAATGACAATGCAATTGGTGACTTTATGTATAAACCCTTCAGGTTTGTAAGCTTGGGGAATTATCGCTCTTCTTGTTTGAATATGTGAATTCTGGTGTGCTGACTGCATATGCTGTCGATTAAAACAGTATCTGTGATGTAGTTAAACAAACTGTCCGATGCTTTCAACTGCGGACTAACGAGTTTGCTTTGTGTGAGCAGTTCAAGCTTAGTATAACTACTCGCGGATATTTCCACATGACGGCTTGTCCGACCCGTCATTATCGTCTTTTTGATCCTTTCAAGTTCGTGAGCGCAAACGCTTCCATCCAGAAATTACCCAAGAACTCACATCCTTCAGGACGGGATAAACCAGCTTGTACATGTGCTGTTTCCTTTCAGAGGTACACACTTCCATCATTTGTTTCCTTGGATGTGCATGTCTTTTTGGAATGCTCGGACTGGGGTTGGCCACCACCGGAGCGTGTCGTAGTGCACTGATCCCTCGACTTTACTATTATCATTCCGCCGGGGAGTGCTTTCTTGTGTCCAGTAAGTGTTCTTGCACTTTATGCTCACCCTCAATGCAGCATTGATCGGTCGATTTGCTGGTTGATCAGTCAACGAATAAGGCAATCTTAATGTTGGTTCGTTTGTACGGTTCGTCAGTCAAAAGTAGCTGTTTATATGAATATTAATATCCCCTAAGTGAACATATCTTCACGCATGAACTCAAAAGTATTCTAGTATCGTGCCGCCGCACCATAAGCGCTCTAGTACTGAAATCGCTCGCACACACTGCAAGCAAGACCCAACTTGCCAGCAGTCATTCAGTTTGAGAACCACTTGTTATGCGTCAGACATGCAGTTCCTTATCAGACGTTGATGTGGAACTCAACGAATTAATTTTTCTTAACACTGCTAAACGGTGTGCAAGGGAATGCAAATATACTAGAAAGATGCACAAAATGCAAGTATTGGAAAAGTCTCAAGAATATTCCAGCAGTTATATAACATTATATTACTAGTTGTGCACGGCGTTTTTTCAATTAATTCACCGTAGAGCAAATATAAGTAATGAATAGAACGTCCTCAAAAACAAATCTAGATGAACACAAAGCTCACGCCATTTTCTCATCAAAGACGCACTGTCTGAAATCCGTAAACGTTTTCATATTACACTGAGTGGTATTTAAAAGACTAGAGTCGATTTTCATGAGCGTATTTTAGAAATACTCATCGCCACCGTACAGCTATATGTTTAATGCGCTTTCTCACCCAATCAACCATAAAAGGTCATAATCGTGACTCAGTTACCTCCACATAACTTGTATGTGCGTTCAATGTTTGTATAAGAGCACATATTTTGAAGAGTTTTAATAGTAATCATAATTGTACTTCCATACTTTGAATGAAATTCAGATGAGAATAATAATTTAATATATACAATAACAATATATAATATAATTTATAGTTGATTCTCGCTCACCAACCGGATCAAACAAGCCCCTATAAACGAGATTTCTGATGGAAAACGATTCACAAACAGGAATAACAGGTTATTGTGCTATTTCGTTGCATAGCTGAGTAATACTTTATTAGTGCAACCCACAGCACATGGATGAGCCGGAATGACTTGTGGTTTTGTAGCAGGTAAAATTTTTATCGCATTCCGTGATGGTACATTCAAATCCCATCACCGCCAACTTACTGTTCTGTTTATTTGTATTTCCTGTCAGAAACGTGGTCCAATACGCAGCAGTTTTAAAAGGTATTTTATGATCCATTCCAGTGGTATACAGATTCGATCTTTCGACTACTCAAATAAATCAAGTATCACGCTCAGTAGTTCGATATTGACTGTCCATTCAGAGTGATCCCGCACTGAGAAAGGCTTACCTATGAGGTAATATCAGTCACAGTCACAGAAATGGATTACCGCTGCAGCAGATCATGTCAGTTAAATTCGAGCTGCTAGTTCATATGCAGCTGTCAAGTGCTTAAAGACAATACATGAACAGATTAATAAACTGATGGTAATTGGGGAGTTGATTCAGTGCTGCTGATGCATTACGATAAACATGATTCATTCATTCGGGCTGGATCAGGGACAACGAAGGAGTTGCTTTTACTTGTGTGAAGGGGTTGTTACTGGCGGCAAATCTCAAGATGAAAACAACTAGTTAGTCTTTACCGGCAAGTATTCCTTGGTTTCGTGCAGGAACGTTTCTTTTCGCAACGTGAGTGACTCAGAAAGGGGAAGATATAAACGGTTCTACACGGATACAAAATGTTTCCATTTGGGAAGTCTGTAACTTGAACTGAAGAGTCCTAAAGTGCGGTCATGCATGTTGAAGCAAACATCTCCTTCACCCTAATGCGACTTTTGGAGAAGATTTTCCACTTTCATAATTTATGATCAGGACTACGGGATGAAACGATTGTGGTTAAGGAAGCTGACAATTTTGAGGGAAACCAAGTAACGATAACCATCCGTAGGACTTATTAGACCAACGAAAGAAGAATAACAAAATTAGGAAAATTTCACGGATGCATAAAGAGGGACTGGGTAATTGCCGTATTGGTTGGTTTTGTACTAAGGAATGAAAGCGGTAATGTAGAGGATTGGTTGACCGAAGTGAATATAACACCTAAGCCACTGATTCCTATTATTATACTTGATAATAGCATCATGGCCTTTATGATATGGGACCGTTCAATGACCGCGATTAGTCATGTCTTCCGAGGGCAGATAATTTTCAGTGAAGATTATTCAACACATCGAATGCGTTCACTGATATGGAGAAGATTTCCAATCAGTGATAAAAAATTGCATCTTATAATATTAGAATTGCACATGTGCATTGCATTCTTATTACATAGAACCACTTACCCGCCAATCTGGTGTTTACTGTGGTGCCCTTGAATGATTTTGGAATTTCTTTAAATATACCTCCTAAAAAGGTTATTTCCACTGTCCAACTTGTCAACCACGCAATTTATCAAATACAATGACAATTGGTGTTGTTTTACCGCCTGTTGAGCGTAGTCCATGCGATGGACAGCACATACTTACTGGGTGGAAAAATACAAACGGTATTCTGAGAAAAAGGCAAAAATCCACTCGGAGAGGATGTCAAACGGCACAACCCAATTGAAAAGCAAGTTAACAAAATGTTCACAAGGTAGCTCTTATACGGAATCAGCCGCTGGAGTCAGTTTTCAGATGATCTGATGGTATTGTGTGACTCATAGCCCTGTGGAGGCTTGGAAGACTATACAATTGATGAATACTCACTACTACTGACTCATATTAGTCTTATTTTTTATTTCATTTTCGTTAAATGACCCCAATGATTTGAACACCTCAATATTTACCATTTGTTTCAGTCTTTTGGTTCTTTATCATCTAATTCCTCTTTCTTCAGGTATATCAACGGCAAGTTCATTGGTGTTATACCCAATTTCAGCAAGTGCCTGTATTCGCAACCTGATCAGTGATGGAGTGATAAAACTCCCCGGTTGGTCCTCTTCCCAAGAACCAGACAATCTGGATGCAATGCAACGCTACGCGTATACTTATTATCTGACTTGGATTGCCGCTGTTTTCTTTATGAGTTCATTTTTTTGTATGAACTTAGACCTACTGATCCAATCGTTTGTCAAACCAGTGCCTTTTCTTTCGGCCTTGGCAAATTACTTATACTGTAGTTTTCGAAGGCGTTCCCGACACCGTTCACGGACAAGTCGAGCCCGATCAATTTCTGCTGTGAGCAGCACAAATCCGCGCGCGGGAACACAACTGTCCACAAGTCCCACAAACCCGAGCATGGGAGCACACAAAGCTCCCGATGCTCCAAACGAATCTCATCCAACACGAGCAAACCCAATTCCAGAAATTCTGCTAAGCAGTTACGATGAGGAAGCCTCTATTGAGGGCCAGCCTATCGACATGGAATCAAGCAAGCATTCGAAACGAATATCTCGGACATCGCACAGTGAAGAGGACATTCATGGGACTGGTGAGGAAGGAGACGAAGAAGACGATGAGGATGGAGATGACGATGATGCGGATGGGGAGTGGATTTAACTGACTCACTCACTGACTGACGATTGAATTGCTGTCCAACTGAATGATTGACTTGCGCCTTTGTACAAATGTGCAATTTTCGGTAACACGGAAAAGGTCTGCTTCGCGTTTTTACCAGTTTATTACAACTACCATCAGTGTCTTAAGGGATGTAACTGTGTTGTTTTTCTCTGTCTACCTCGAATAAACACTTTCGTTTAGCCATTCCGATTGAGTAATTCAAACCACATCCTGCACTTGCCTCGTGTGAACCCAACGGGTTATCAAACAAAGGCCCCATACCTATCCTTCTCTTTTAAATGCACGAACACGCATAATTAAACAAAGGCATTTTGAAGAAAAAAACATTGCCACATACCGTTTGTTTGATTTTATTACCAATACCTATCAAACCGAAATCGTGATGTGATTCTTATCAGTGTTTTACTGATCCTTTTATTCGTTTACTTTCTTTATTTTTTTCCAGTCACAATGTCTTACGCGCACATGACTGTCCACGAGTCAATACGACCGTCCATACAACTAAGTCTACCAGTGCAATTTCAGGTTTGTCATCCTGAGGAACCGAGAAACCATGTTTTTCTAATTGTTTCTTCGTTTATTCTGCCACAAGATGCCTACCATATTGCCTCGTGTTCCTCTAGCCGTCACTTCTTGCCCATGATTCTTTCCGTTCAAATAGATCTGATTTCGGATCACGAGAATGTTTATCTGGTGTTTGTTTCTTTCGAAAATCGGATGGTTTTACCAGGCATCACTTACGTAGTGCTGTCACCATATGCTCTCTACTAATGATTCTCGCTAAATGTGTGTATGATCGATTGGACGATTGATCTGGGCACCCGTTCCAGCGATTTGCGATCGTATCTTCTGAGCCACGTGTTTATAACGTAGCATACTAATGCACATCAATGCACATGAATTTGAACTGAGGTTAGACAGGTAAAACTCAATAAAATCGACTAAGACTTGCAGTGTCCAGGTCAAAATTATGCTGGTTTGTCCAAATACTGTTTTTCTGATATCCAGTACCGAATTTATAGCGTGTGACCACCAATGCACAAGCCATACAAAGCAATGGAATTTCAGAACGATGCATTCGTTCATTGGGATCAAAACGGTTTCGGTGATGATCTGCCTCCGCTCTATATTGTAGGTTAAAATGAATATCCAAGCGTATGATCATGTAGCTTATGAACACACAGTTCATGTAAAATTTGGTAAAAGGTGTTCACCCCATTGCGTAACCACTGATACCAATCTACCATCAGAAGGACTCACATGACGGGTTCTTTGCTTTCAAATAAAACCTACTTTTAGTTAAGAAAATTTACTTTTTTCGGAAGATGTGATCGTTTCTGCTTGTCTTGTTCAAGATAGTCAGTAAAAGACATTCAATCAAATCCCTAAAATAGTGGACTGTTTCGGACTGCTTTACGAAGCTCTGGAAACTTGTAAATTTGCTGTCAGTTTCCAATATGCATGAAAGTTAATTAAGTGTCAACTCCTTGGAGAGTTCCACAGGAAGTCGTTAGAACTAGTAAAATTCTTTTGCTCACATTTTGAGTTAGTCAATGTATGTTATTATAACCCTGAAGAGCAATACCTTTGACAAAGTGGAACACATGAGCTTCCATGTATTTCTGTTAATTCGCCTTCCACACCTTCAAGTTGTTGCTACATCAGTCCTGCGTTTAGGTCAGTTGCATGCACTTTTGATACAACGAGAATGAAGGTATCCAGTTAAAAGTATCCTGCAAATGAGCAGTTATAAGACCAAACGAAATTTATGTGGTGCTCATGAGGGGCTGGAACATTTTTCCACTTCATCACGATGTTCAGGTTCAGATGTGTTATTCTAAAATATCTAAAGATTTTCCAATATCAAAGAAAAGATAGTACTTCACCCTTACAGACGTAGATCCTTATGCCTTTAGTTGGAGTAACAAATTCTCGTTGAAAACACAAACGATCTCTGCCAGTCATCATCATTTTTCACATCTACGGATCGTTCCATTTCTCCTGCTGCTTCTGGTTGTTGAACTATTTTCTCTCTCCCCCTCTTCATATCCCCATAGTACTTTCACGATGACCTTCCAACCAACTCCCACGATAACTCTTATCCAGCGAGGAAACTTCCCGCACGTATAACTGATGGCTATATTCGGTTTGTGGCTGATTGAGTTTCTGCATGTGTGATACAAGGTGGAGAATGCGGGCCCATTTCTATCGCTTCCTCTTGATTAAAACCATGCCTGTCTCGTGTTATTTCCTTGTGAAGTAGTTGCAGCTAAGGTGATAATTCCCGCTGAATATGGATCAGGATGTCAACACGTTTTCCGTGGGTAAACAAAAGCGTGAATGTGTACTCACCATGGCTCTTGAAAGATAATACACAAGGACTATGCACATAGCTATGCAGACCGGTTAGGAATGTCAAAGAATTTGCTAACCGTCGACGGTTTTTAGTGCTTTACAATGGTTAGACATTTCGGTAGTACTCTTCATTAAAAATCTCTCTGTGTCATGAAAATGTCTTACTTTTTACATTAAGAGATAATATCAGTTTCAGCATGAAGAAATCTGTCTACTTACTCGCAGTTTCCAAACACTTTGTTAACCCAGGATGGACGATCTTCAAATCATTTTTATGATAGCCAGATCCATCAGTTTTTATTAAAATATAAACCACTCAAACCAAACATGCTCAAGGTGGAAGATAGAGCAATAATGTACTGTAACTTACAGTAGTGTGATACATTTTCTTTTGCTTATTATAACTTGCTTGCCAGCAGCAGCAGCAGCAGCAGTACTACTTCAACTAGTCTTAATTTTACTCTTACGTATTTCATTCAGAGACCAGAGCTATTAAGATCAAGGTGATCAAATTTGCATGCTTATGCACCGTTCGAAAAGATTTTCTCAATTTTCTATCACTGTTATGTTAGTTAAGTTTACTTGCGGTGGTTTTACAAACCTGTATCATTGTAACATATTTCATCCTATATTGCACCACATAATCAAACTGCCAAATTTAAGCTGAAATCTTGGAGATGTTGATACCGTTGTTACCGGTATTCTCCCATTTTTCTTTTGATGTAACACTGCTCCATAGAACCAGATATTGACCAGTCAACCCCATAGCATAGCAAATGAAACTGAGAACACGAATAAAGATTTGAGTAGTGATTGTGCATTTTCCACTTCCACCATTATACATTTATTTTTCTGTTCATTAATATGGAATATACTTAGTACTACGATGATTAAGGTCTTGCTCGAAACACAGATTCAGATGATCTCTGAACAAAACAGTGTATGCCACAGTTAATTACTTTAATTAACTAAAAATAAGCTATTAACATCTTACTTCCGCTTCAAACAAAACCACATCAGAACAATTTATATTAGCTTTTTTAATATTCCGAATTTTGAACACTGCTGCTTTTAAGCCAATCAAAAATCTTCAAGAATCTTTTGAGTGACATTCCCCCATTCACTTATTCAATGGTTGAACGTCAGGCGGATTAGGAAAATGGGTGTATTCTTGCCACAATATTTGTATTGCAATTCGTTTTATGTTTAGTTCCTATAGTTTCTACACAGATACCTGAAGTGTAAGGCTGCCAAGCATTACTACAATCAAACGTAGCTTCTTAGGTTTTCGAGGACAAAGTGCTGCGTGTTTAAACTCCGGTGAAAAGCGTCCCGATGGGCAAATCCACTGGCAACTATCTCTATCCTCCACAATCAAGATCAAACGTTTATTCTGGTAAAGTGTGATGAATAAAGTTTTCTATCGAAACAAGTTATATCGCTAATGGACGGAAAAATCACTGATCACTAATGATGATGAATACCGACACAAACGTAGAATGATCAAAAATGTACTGCCGCCACCTTTTCTGTGATGAATATAACTTCTGGGTTTTAATTATTCCTTGGCGGGCGTGATAGGCTCGGAGATGTTTCGCATATAGTCCTTAACTTACTTTTATTTGTGGTTGGATTTGCAAAATTCTCAAGCAGAACAAACCCTCAGTTACTCACGAAAAAGCATTCAAAAAGCGTTATTTCACTAGTTTGCAAAGATTCAAAGAAACTGAGTCCAGCTGTCTTAATAAGATATAAATCCACAAAACTCTAGAACTCCGGAACCGTTTGACACAGGGAAGCAGGTCGAAAATCAGTGTCGATCCTCGAACGAGCGAATGAGCAGGGAATGAACGGAATTTGCAATTGTAAAACAGTTAAATTAGTGATTGGCACAGTCACTCGTACGGAACAAACCGGAGAATTGGTATCGGTGTTTGTGTTTCTGTGTTTCTGATTGGTGCGATTCCACAAACCAAATTTTACTGTACCCGTTCGAAGCAAATCACGGCAATCCTACTAAATAACGGCACCACCACTTCATTGAATTTGTGCATTTCTTTCCAATGAAAAGCATACTTTTGGTTACTTAAATTGCAGAAGGTAATACCAATATAAATTATAATAGCAATACTTTTTATTTCCTTAGATGAATGCAACTTTACAACCAACGTTTTGGACCAAGGGGGAAGTAGCCGAATAGAGTCTGCCTGAAAACACCGGAATGGAAGATTGTGACAATCATTTATTGACTCATTACCTCCAAATCCATTGAAATGTGATCCATTCCATGAGATCATCACTGTCTTCCGGATTTGAATTGATCAAAACACATCAGCTTTCAAAGGCGAATTCATCGTGTATATATCAATGAAGCGTGAATTGAAAAGCTAGGAAGCGTTTGATAGCTGCTTCGACTTGGTTGGGTTTCATCAACAGTGCGAATCCATTTACCAACTGGGGATCGAACCCGGGACTTTAAGGGCAGAACGCAGGCATGCTATTCACTACACCACCGAGCAGCTGACCAGTCGGTTTTTTATTTTTCATTTATACGATGTAGCACAACCCATTGTTGCGAGCTTATTGCAGGCCACAGACCCCGCTCATCTCGGCACTAGCCTCCGGGTTATAACTCGGTTGGAAACATTCACAACCTGACTACTTATTTCAAGTATTAGAGGCTGAAAAGTATTTTACTTAGGAAAACCATGATGCATCTAATCAGAAAAACTCAATAAAAGCTGACTTTACCGTCCTTAGTTAAATTCCAGCGAGTGACGTTCTCGTGTGACCACTTAAAATAGTTTTAATTTTAATTACGATTTACAACAGACGAACACTTTGTTTTCAAACGATGGTGGCATAAATATGATAGAGCGAAAGAAAACTGCAATGCTTCTATAACCAGAGTCGAGTAATCTTAACTGATAGGGAAGATACAGCCGAAGTATTCGAAGCAGATGTGTGTAAAGTCCTTGTCATACTGATAAATTCAATATCCAGTATTGATTTCATTGAGTGATACAAGCGATTATGAATGACCTCAGAGAACGTAAATAAAACCTTGTAACCAATGACGCTTATGCACGCACGCACACACACACACACACACACACACGGAGAAACACAAACACGTAAAACGATTGCAATGCTGGTGTAAAAAAAACCGATCAGTCTTTCTGAACTGCGAAGACCCCTCTGTCACGCTATTTATCTCTAGTCATCCCGATCGATGACCGCAAGTGTCCCCAACCTGATAGAACTTTCGTTCTTCGAGTACCGATCACTAGGATATATGAAATAGTACTAGGCCGAGTTATGGATGACGTTGTCGAAGATATGGGACAGACGGCCGGGGATATGATATCATCTGTGCCCGAACCGGAAGAGAACAGTTCCGATACAGAGGCAACCGTCATTCGTGCACCAAGTGTAACTTTTTATGCTAGTCGGAAAAATACAGGCACAGATCAGTTGGATGTGGAGAATGTTGAAACGGAACTGAATTGCACAGTAAGTCTATACAGAATATCTCTCAGGCAGCAAGAGGCATTGTTTGGTATAGAATGAATGTTTTACGTAAAGCTAAGCAATTTGATAACCAAAATCCGTATTGGTTTCGTCCTCAGTTTTATCTTTCATAATGGTATTGATTTCGACTACGTCTACGGGATCTTGATACAAAACAAAATTTAGATTACTTGAACGTTTTACCGAATTCCGTTTCTACCTGCGATAATAAATAATTTGAACTTGGACAATAAAACAGTAATCAGTATGTGAGATTTGCGTAGAGAATGAAAGACGGCAATGAATCACTTTCTTTCATTGTTGGATGACCACTTTTGTCCTGTCGGAGAACTCGACGCGCGGAGAATCAGTTTTGGCCCCAAAAAGTCGTAACTCCTAATCGAGTGACCGAAATTGGAAACTTTTTTTCGGTTTCGGTTCACGAAAATATGTAAACACACAACCAGGTCTGGGCATGGATCTGCTTATGAGACTCCCATTCTGCGCTGTTTCGTTTGTCCTCAAAGGCAGAAGCAGAAAATGAGTTCATTGTGATGTTGCATTTACTGCCTAATTATACCCTATTGCGAAACCATGAAGAATGAATATGGAACGGATTTTAGGATCCTAATTTGGTGAAGTAAAATATCATACAAATGGGGTGCCTCAGAATAACTACGGTCTGTTTCTTTTGTGAATTACCTTTGGTCTGCGTCACCAAGCCATGAGTTTGCGACCGAATCAGACCAAATGATTCAACAAATTGTTTTACATTGAACTCAGTACAATCTGATCATCAGATTCCGATTGCATCTGCCATAGATAGGTTACCGCTATTGTTCTCTTTTTAAGCGATCGGCCTTCTACCTTGTAGATCAAAAAGAAACATTCATGAGCGTAAACCGCTTGATCGAAAGGCATCAAATTAGCGGCATTTGCAATCGTCCCAGTTCTGGTCGTTCTCTGATACACCTCGTAGGATGATGTTCTGTAATGGGATCGCACTGACATTCGGTGGTTCGGTGACTGTAATCCAGTAGCGCTGGCCACCAACCTACGGTCGCCGTAGATCTCCATGTTTCGTTGGCATATGCGATCCCTTTTTGATGAACCGCCCTACTCCACTGTGTTTTTTAAACACAATCCCGTTTGATCAAATATTTATTGAACAGCAGTAGCTCGCTCCCCAAGAGGAAGTGAATTGACAAACTGCAATTTTTCATCGAAAATCGTCTTTTCTCTTCTGAGAGAAACACCTGAGACACTAAGGCATAATTTTGTTACCTAATTTCAATTCACTCATTCTAAAAGCGATTCACATGGTAAACTCCCCCGTATTTTCCTCAAACGTATCAATCACATAACGTTATACCCCCGCCTCTCCCCCTCAAATATTTCCTTGGTCATGTTTTGCATTACACTTTCATCTTCCGCAGCTATAATAAGTGTTGTGTTTTGCTTGCTGATAAAACACCAAAATCGGGCTTGCTGTTTACTGCTATACGTGTGAGTAATGCGCTTCACTTGTTCCAGTATGGAACTAGCGTAACATTACAAAACAAGTCAGAAAGCAAACAATTGTTTTGAAGGTTTCATAATTCTTCCTGTACAAGGCATATGAAGGTTTGTTGCTTTGGGACCACATGTTCTCGCTGGGTCGAAAGGTAATTCGCGATGGGGAGAGAGAAGAGGTGATCCCTATGCGTCTGCTTCGATGAAATCGATTGTGATTAAATTGTTGTTGTTGGTGATGGTATTGATGGTGATCATTCTCGTGCCAGCGTAAAAGGCGAGCTTCAACCAGTGGCTTTTATGCACATAGTTCTGGTGCGAAAAGTATAATACCAATCGCCTCAGCAGGAGTTAGTATGCAAGCGCACGGTTTTAGGGAGGTTAGGGGGTACATAATTAATTCTGGTTTAATTTGATGTATTTTATTCATTTGTAGTCGAAAGTCGTATACGTACAAATTGTAATATGTTTGGGTTGCTGTATACAGTAGGATGTCTGACCCCTGTGAAAGAATGGTCCAGGCAACCGGATGTGGGCCTTGCCTCGGTGGGGTCTGAAACCGTCGACATACAGAAGATTTTCTATTGAAAAGTTTACTTGAAAAACCACAAGGGAGGAAATTGTAAACCCCAAGATCAAAAAGGTTCAGCGTTACAAGAACACGACTCGCACTCAAACTGACAAGTTGCCAAGTTTCTTACAAAATATGGGATTCCAAAACGTTTAGGGATTCCAAAGCAAGCTGTCCTCAGCGTTCTACTTGGTTTATTTACAGTCATCTCTGTGCACTCCACATAGTGTGTTCCACAGAGCGTACGAATTACGGTCAGTTGCTTCTTGCATGAATGTTCTCTTCTTGCTGTCTTATGAACTCTCCCTTTAGCGTTAGAGGTCATCAGAGAGTAATCATTTTGTAAAACCTCATCCGATGAAAATCATCATTGGTTTAGTCTGAAAACTGCTTTTCCGTTCACCATTATCCATTTCAATATTTAAATTCAATTAAAAAACACAAAGTCATAACCAATAAACAACACTTTAACGCCCTTTCTGGAATGAAACGACTCAGAAGATATTTTGGTCAAAATTCTAACTGGAACTGAAAGTTAGTTTCCTATTATTTTATTTTGCAGTTATACTTGGGCATGGTTATGACATCGGTGATGCATGCATTACACAATCCACAGGTGGTCATATTAATCAAAGGATGATGGATAGATAGGTTATCACTTTGATACTCTGGCAATTTTCCCAGGGAGGAACTAATTTACGGGTATAGAAATGATCTTGTTGTAATCAAATATTCTTTTGATATTCATATTTTGTCTAGCCGTGGCTAGATATCTTTCGTACTCTGTGCAGATGTTTATTACCCCATCAACTCTTAAGTGTGTGACCAAACAGGTCATCACAAGTATTTCCCAAAGGAATTCAAAGTTTCGTACGCGCACTCCACAATCCAAGCAGTTGTGGAGCTGTGATTTGCAAAGTTGAAGAGTTCGAGTGCCGAAGATCTATTACCATCATCCCCAGCGGTTGTGGATTTGTTTTGTCAGATGGATTTATCAAAAATGGTGTTCTTTGATTACGTGTCTGTCAACGCATAGGATTAAGCGTGCATTGACTGAGGCGTATGGCTTGGAAATTGTGGTACATCCATTTCCTCGTCAGTCGTTCTGTCGTTTGTAATCCGTACCAGGAGTCACAATTGCTGGGCCCCCCAGCTAAATGCCAGCTCATCCATAAAACGCTAAAAAAAAGATATTTCAAAGGTAAGCAACCGTGAGAAACTGTTTTTGTAATTCTTTTCATTTTTCAAGTAAACTTCATACATTGGTTTTGATAGATCCCAAATACCCCAAAATCAAAATAAACAAAATGCGGTATACCTGAAATCGTTACTTTTTTGAACACGAAATTCACTATCACTATGGCTAGAACGAGTGATACATCAACGCCCTCCGTTTGCTCTGCACCAAACGAATCATATTGTTTGTTTAACCCACAAAGGCGGTAAGTTTACTCTTCACTTACTGGCTTATACGTTGCACTTTATTGAAAAAGTGACGAAAGATTGTTTTCTTCTTTGCCTTATGTCCCTCAAAATGACATATCTCGATTTCATTGTGTTGCCTGTACAGCGTAGTTTCCTGTTAGTCCTGATTCGTTGCTTTTCTGACTTGTTGAAAACGCTTCAGTTCTTGAACGTCAACAACTTGTAAGCAATTGTAGTGCCACCTAAGGTGTAGTACTCACTCACAAATCGTAATCCAATTGCCTCAAGAATCTTGTTGACTTCAGACCTGGAGTATGTGGATGAAACTATTCTATGGCAGACTGCTAATATTAAGTGGAAAATACAACATTTTGGGCAACCTTTCATAAGTTCATGAATTTTCGAATGAATCTGGACTTTCCTCGAACAGGTCAAATGTTTTCAGTGTACTCCTTTTTCGCGTAGCTTACCACCAACACCTTTTTCTCAATCATTTTCCGGAGTTGACGCTGTTGCCTACCTGTTTCATGCAGTCTTCTGTTGACACTGAAAACGCTGTGTCAACTATTTTTTATTATTTGAGATCCTTAAGTTGAGATTATTTGGTGCATACCACAGGGGTTATCTTATTTTGGACCCAATCTATTCTTTCAATTTGCATGTACCATTCTGCCGCGGGCCTGTCTACAAAAAGCATTTTGACCGATTTGCCGTTAGCTACGCATTATGAATCGCGTTTCCGAAATTTCTTTGAGTCTGCTATTCTTTGATTTTTCTTCTCGAGACGCATATTCGATTTTTTGCTTCGTTTGCTAATGACTCTCTCCTCACACATCCATTTGATTAACTTATTGTTCATCGCGGGTTACTTAACAGATATTCTTACGGACAATGATGATGTTCTAAGAGAACATTCGACCATCTTTTGTAGTAAGCAATTCTAATACCGACACTTGGAATCTTTATCTTGGTTCACTTTTGGTATTACCCCAACCAACTTTTCCTCACAGCAGAAAGTCTATTCAAACTTGCTCAATCCGGTTAACGCCTTATGATGCAATAATACAGTTTGACTTACTTCTTTTTCAATTTGACCTGCATAAAGGTTTCATGATAAAGCTCAGGTACCATTGTGCATCCTGCCATCCAGTGAGCAACAACCGATACTCCCCATGCAAAGTGTGAATTTTGGCCTGTATTCATCCAGTTTCTTTACCAGCACAGTAAAACACGTGTCGAGGAATGAATAATATACTGTATGCGACTGGACACTGGCCGCAGCATTTATAGTACCCTCTCTCTTGGCATAATTTTCCCTTCCTAGTTTCATAATAGCAAGCAAATAACGTCTGAACGATCCATAAATCTTAGTTTTAAACACAGATTAGACATCGAAAGGTTAACGTATTTGAATCTATTGTTGGCTCAAACCTCCGTTGTCGGTAAATTTAGCAATCCCTAAACTTCTTGTCTGATGTAATTAAAAAATTCAAAT